TATATTTCATTATGAGACAGGTTTAGACCAAACCTTAAAGGAAAAAAAAACTAAAGAGGCAGATAACATATCAGACATTTGTAAAGAGTTAACACAAATTAGAGACAATAATACAAAAAGCATCATCAATGCGTGAAGAGCATGACATAATAATAACGTGCTTTAACAGGCAATCAACATCCTGACAAAAACAGGTAGCTTTCTTCAGATATAGTTAAAACTGTCACATAGCTCCTTAGGTGATTCATTTTTCCAGTTCAGTTTTTCACATTTTCAGTGTCAGGGTTTTTAGCTCTTTCCAATATCTCAGAATTGACCGTGGACATGTTATTAAACCAGTTGTTAACGTTGTGTATGATTATTTACTTTAATCAAAGCTGAGGTGATCGGGGTAGTTGGCATTTTAAACAATCCTCTCTAAGTTGTAGAGTTTTTTTCCATAATGGGAAAACTATTAGGCATTCCCTTGAAGCACGAATCTCCGTGCCACTTTCTGTTTTACACTTCCAACATAGACTGTCTTTTAATAACCCCATACTATTTAGTCTCGCAGGGGTATAATAATATCTATAGAGTATTTTATGCTGAATAAATTTGCCTCTGGCTTCTCTTAGTATGTAGTATCTATTAGTGTATTGAATATTAACCACTGTATCCTTTTATGTATTATATGACCAATGTCCTGCCAGTATAGAGCCCTTATGAACACCTTTTTGAAATAACTAAATTGGTTGTGAAATACAAGGACTATTTTTCTTATTTGGTTTGAAAACATAGTTCACATAATTCATTCATCGACTGAATGACTCACTGGGTGGAGGAACTGTGGAGGAATTCGCTCACTCCTGCATAATTTGAGGAGTTGAAAGCTGTCAGATGTGCTGAAGTCAACTGTCAGTTGATTATTAATAAGTAACAGAACAAGTTTTAATTAAAACAATTCCTGATGACTGCTCAGTTACTGATTATTACCGTTTTGAGACATCAGGTCATCACTGAATGTAGCTAATATACATTAAAATATGATAACTTAGTCACTAAAAGATGCTAAATGGATGGAGGATTATTAAATCACTCCAGATAATCTGAAGAAAAACTATAACCTTGTATTACTGTACAATAAAGAGAATGATGTCCTTTCTAGGCTAAGGCTTAAATTATAGGACTAATAATAACACCCTCAACCTCATGTGTACTTCTGGGCAAAAATAAAGAAAGCATTCATGATTCAGAATCTATATGTAATGTTTTTTTCTCTGTAAAACCTAATTTGAATAACTGTTGAACTGATGTTGGTTCTGTCATTCCTGTATTCATACATAGATTCGCTAATTCACAGTCAAATATATCAAGTAGAATTATTAATAACACGGTACACCTGTTTCCATAAAGTCCTTGTAGCTCTATACACATCAATCAACCAAGTCTGATAGAAGGGTTGTTACCCACAAAGGGCGGAAGGGAAACATCTGTATCAGATACACCTTTACACATCTGGAGAGAAGAGGACTATAAGCAAATCAGCAGAATGAAAAGCAAGCCGTCACATCCACCAGTCTGAGATGATTTAACAAGTTGCTAAATTAACTGAGAGAGTGTGACAGAGAGAACAAATTATCCCTGTAAGTCTGAAGAGCACTGATTTCATATTCCACATTCATTGTTAAATATATTCAGACTCCACATGGCAGTGGTTTAGAAATAAAATTACTGTAACAATCCCCTTTTATCGTTTATATTCATCATGACTGAGAAAATCACTAAGCCAGCTGAAAGCGGCTTATCAGCTGGAGCGAGTGTGCATGTGGATGGGAGCTGTGTTGTGGAGAGCAGCCTGCTCACTGTGAGTGTACAACATGGAGAAAGTTTCTCTGACTTTATTATAAGGAAAAATTTATTCCCTGGCTCGCCCCGAGGCCTTTTAAAGGGAGTCTACACGGCATGCATACACACATCAGCAGACACACAACAACAACAAAACATCACATCTTTAATGCATTTTACTGAGTGAGGCAGGCCAAGGCTCGGAGCCACTGCAGTCCTCATATCCATGTGCTGCTGTTTCCATTTTCTCCCTTCTTCTACATGAATGTACGACTCTCTCCATGCTGTCCTCCTTTCCTGCAGACAGGTGGTCTGTGGTTCAGACCAGAAGGATGTTGGCTTACTTACTAATGCTGTTTTAATGGTGCCTTGTGTAGTGGGTAAAGAGAGAGGCATGCTGCAACTAATATAAATTCTTCTGACCCTCCAGAATGTTATATAATGGCCTTTTTTTTTGGTGAGGTAGACCAGTCAAATCCGATTAACGTGCACATGAGGTTGTGTGTACATGTGTTTGGGTGTGTGTGTTTGTGTTCAAGAGCTGCGTTCAAGTTTTAGTTAAAAGAAAATTGACAAGATCCAATTAAATCTTGATATTTCCAATTTTTCCGGACTTTTATTTAACAACTGGTAACAATTTCAGTCATTAGTGCAATTTTACTTGTTTTAAGAATTTTTGTTATCTGTAGCCAATGTTCAGAACTTGTCCAAAGACAATGAATGGAACAGCCAAGCAGGACAAAAACGGTAACCAACACCACTTTTCTTATTTTTAAAGTGGGAATTTTCTTACCAGATAAAATACTAACCTAAGGATGTAAATAAAATACACCAGGGTTGTATGACTTTAATGTCTTGTCTTTGTTGATGATGATGATAGTCTAAAGTCTCATCAACTACTTGTTCGAGACTTTTTAAGACACCTCAACTCATGTTTGTCATTTTTACTGAGGTAAATTGTCAAAACAGAAAAGGTGAAAATATTATATGTTAAAACCGGAGCCTATCTTAGACATCTAGCCAATAATCTATATTTATAATACAATATTTTTATTATTATATATATTTATTTACATCTATAATTAATATAAAAAAAAACTCTTTGACTTTGGCTGCCGATAGCCTAGTGGTTGTATTTCACACCACATGTTTGGAGGCTGGACTCACAGCGGCTGTGGGTTTGGATATGTCCTCGGGCCTTTGCTACATGTCGTCCCCCCCTCTACCATCCCAGTGTTTCCTGTCTCTCTTCAGCTGTCCTGTCTGGTAAAGACAAAAAGGCCCCCAAACTTAAAAATAAAAAATAAAAACCCTGACTGAGAATAAAAAACAGGAGTGCAGAAATGCTATCTCATTTCATGGTTAAAGGAATCATTTCTGCTCCTCTTCTAAAAAATATGAATATCTTTACAGTGTAAACATTCAGATTTCATCAGCTCATATCCCAAATAAACTTAATCAAAAATTATTTTCACTATTGTGAAAAAAGTTAATTTGGGTCGATCACACCAATCTCTCTGGTTTTAATCAAAAGACATGGAACTTTACAAACAACCAATCAAAAACAAGTTATACAATTAACTCTAAGAATATTCAATCTGTTTTTCTTTTGTGTGCATGCGTGAAAAAAGGTGCTTCTTATCAGCACAGTGCAATAAAAACAGACAATGTGGCCTTTCTTTGAAAGTGTGTGTGTGTGTGAGTGCACTTGAATACCTATCTTACAGTGGCCTACAGCATCGTAACATATTCAGTAAAAGAGGACATTTTTTAGATCACTTGTTGATTATGTTCTTAATCAAAAAATATTGTCACAACCACTCTGGTCAATTTTTAGTGTTTTATGTGTGTCATGTCGTAGTGCTGTCTATTAAGCAGCACATGTAACCAGTCAGTGTTACAGTTCATGTATGTTGATTGAATTGGTTTATGTTTAAAATGAGGAGCTAAGTGAGACAATGGAAGCTTGTATTAAAATCTATCCCAAAAGGTGTCTTTTGAAGTTGTAGTGTGTGTGTGTGTGCGTGTGTGTGTTTCTTTGTGTATTGAAGGTCCCTCATCAGCCCCTTATTAACTAGACTAAGTGACCTTTGAGAAGGTGCTGATCGACGTCTTTGGGATCCAGCCAAGTTTCTCCCTTGTCTCCTGTTTCACCTTCCCTCTTCATTGTCTCGCTCTGCATTGAGTTCACTGATTAAAAACATCTTGTTTTATGAAAGCCGCTTATTGCATCTCTCTAAGCAACATTGTATATCCACCTGTATGACATTAAAACTTCTTCCATGATTTTTATCTTATTTGATCATGCACAGAGGATTTAAATGTTTTAAAGTCTATAAAAATCAGTCGTGTCCAACACATTTCTTCTTATTACCCCTGTCCTGTCCTGTTTCTGTCATTCCACACTTTAGAGCCAGAGTATGCTCTATCTCAAAAATCAGATGGAAAAAGGTCATCACTTTACTGGCTTTCACACTCCAAACAGTTTCCAAAAGTCTCCACATTTCGGGAAATATGGGCGGAAAACTATAAAAATTGTACAGTTTCACAATTGATCCATTTTGCAATTTTGGAGAACAAAGATGCCAAATTCTTTTCACTGCCGTGAATTTGTTATGTGTGCGTCTGGACTGATTAAGTTCTGGGTGGTTTTGATAAACTTGGTCGCTCACATTGCAGCCTGCTGTCTGTCTGTGTCACCCCTTTACTCTTAAGAATAAAAAGCTGGTGGTTCTGTAGCCCAGGCTTTGTGTAGAGCCAAAGGCCTAGAGTGAATCTCGAGGATTTCGGCATTTCGAGGAGTAATTGAGGTTATACAAATGAAGGGTATCAGGCAGTCTGTGTAGAAACTCACAATCTGTTCTTGTCCAGTTAAAGCTCTGCTGTATGTTCTAGTAGGACATCTGGATTGTTAAATGGAATTAAGAAATATTAAATTGGAGTTTCCTTTTCTATCAATGCCAAGTGTTGACTGCAGTTGATTCGCTGGAAAGGAAACTCAGTAGTTTAACCAAATATATTTTAAATGCAGTGGAATTAAAGAGAACCACCTATATGTGTCTGCAAATAGTACAAGTTCCCGCTGTGTGTTTCTTAGCCCAACAAACAAGTTGTCCAAAAAAAAGTTCTTTGTAGGTCAATCATAATGGCAAATAAATGGCACATTTCAAAATAAATTCTTTATAAAAATTTCAAATATATTTTATTCATTTACTTTCTTGTAAAACAAAGTCGTATTTCAGTAACAGGACTACTTACAGGTTAACTGATTAGAAAGTATTGTAAAAGTTAAATTTTCATCTTTAATTGCTATTGAAACAATGAATTCAGGTGCTATGTCTGTATGTATGATTTCTGCTTTTATACAATATAAGTTTAACTGAAGAAAATTCAAAACTTGAGTACAAAAAAAGAAAGATTGAAAGTGATAGTCAAAAGTCGCGAGTACCAGAGACTTATCAACCCAACACTGTAGGTTCTGTCCAGAGTCTCTTTCTCTCTCCTTCTTCTTTTATTCTCCACTCGTTTTGAGAAACATGTTTTCTCTACCACAACCTCACTCCCTCCAATTGAAAAAGCAAAATATATTCAAGTTCCCCTCTTTCAGGCCACAGAAACAGTGCTGTACAAAGTCAGTGGAAGCATCATCCAGTCTGCCAGTCTGTCTTGTCCAATCGGTCTTCTTTCCCAGCAGGGATAAAAGAATAAAAGCACAGTTTTCTAATCATCTAGTATTAATCTGAGTTACTTTTTTACATGATCAAAAAATACAGTTAGGTGGATCATCTACATGTCTTTGCTTTGATGTTGTTCTTGGGGCTCTGTGCCATTCTGCCTTTTGCAGAGTCTTATTGTTGGGTATAATTTCTCGCCTTATACAGAATCAAAGCCCATTGTCCTGTTCTGTACATCTAATCAAGACATTATCAAACATAATTTCCCTCCAATAATTGCCTCAAATATTAAGGTTACTGTTTCTTAATGATACTGTCTCATTTTTATAGTTTCTTTAGGATAACATACAAGTGATTGATTTGCACTATCAGACGAGTAAAATATAATTGCTAAGGAAGAGTATTCCCATTTAAGTGGAAATATGACATAGTCTGTTTTTAAAATAATCTCATCCAACTTGTTCAAAATCTGTTGTTTCTTCTGAGATTGTTTCATTCTTAGGGAGTTGCCGATAGTGCAACCTGTTCAACTCTCTAACTTAAAAAAACTGTGACTGATCTAAGCAGATCAGGTTGACCCCTAAGACTACCAGAATTATCTTTAATCTTAGAAGAAACCTCATTTATTCCCATCCTCTTCTACGATAAAGTAGTGGGCCAGAAATAGAATTTGCCAGGATCTGGATTTTAAAGATACAATATTGAAAATGATATTAAGATCTGCTTTGAACAAGGTAGAATGTGGGAAATGATCGTTAAATCTATGAAAAGTGAGACACATCACTGGAAGACGGTGTGGTAGGTGGGACACTGGTGGGACTTCATGTACTTGATGGCAAACTTGAGCTCCTTGCTCTTCTTATCCCACTTGTGAATAGACATGAGCAGCAGCTGCTGGTCCACCTTGCGGCCCATGATTAGGAAGTTGGTGCCCAGGCTGTCCAGCTGGGCGCATGGGCAGTTGGCTCCGTTCTTGATGTACAGGGTCAGCTTCTTCAGGTCCTTCTTCCTCAGGACCCCCTGCTTTAAAACTTTCTTCTTCTTTTGCGCCGCAATCAGCTTTCGATCGCCCTTCTCCTTTTTCACCTCCTTGATTTTCATCTTGAGGACTGAGGGAGAAAGAGAGTTTCACTCTGTTACACTTTGACGCTGTATATATGACAATTGTATTGCACTTTTACCCTCTACCTTAAGCAGCTGTAATCTTTCTGTAAGACCAGCACTAAGCTCTTTGCCGGGGGAAGCAGCTATTTTACACCTCTCCTGAGTATCATCATTTACCTTTTCCTGCAGCGTATAAAAACTGCATCCTGTGGGTTTGTTTGTATGTGTGACGTGGGGAAAAGCCATTAAAAACTAGTGACAGCTTTTGTGAGTTAGAACCAAGATATTTGGAGTCAACCCTTGATCCCTTGACAGTGAGGACAAGTCATGAGTCTTCATAGCTAATGGCAATTCTCTGAGTTTTCTGAATGCTGACAATTAGACAACACTGCAACTAAACATTTTTCTTAAAGAACAAGGCCGAAGTATTGCATTTAAGCAAGCTGTTTGGCTATACAAGCCCTTTCTGCTGTTTTGTTTATGCCATGGTATTTACCATGCAAAAACTTGAAAATTGGTTGCATGTATTGTCAAATCTCAGTCTACATCAAGCCTTGGGAGTAAGGTATGAAATAATTCATGTCTCATGGAATTCAAGTCCAAGACGAGGCTCAAGTCTTCATAATTTGGACAATACTCTCACCTGAGACAGATTCTCAGGAATCAGGATTTGAAAGTCTTTACTTCTTAGCTATGTTTCTATATAATCCCTATCAGTTTGGAACTGTCTCTGATGTTTTAAATGCTGATTTAAGTGTTTGGAATATTGTTCTTACTATGCACGACAATCCTATATTTTTATCAAAATATAAAGAACATGGCATCTATTTACAATTTTCAGTGTATATTGTGAGTTCAGTTTCAGTAAAATCCATTTGAACAATCTCAGTTTGAGCCTTGGGATTGAAGTTCAAAGTTTAGCACATGAGAGATTACAATTTTAAACTGCCAAACATTTGAGAAAGGAATTCTCTGGATGAACATTTTGACAGCTGAAATTAATCATGGGCCGGGCAAAGGCGCAGGGTCGGTATGAAACATTGCTATGTACCCAGGCCGGTTGGATGATCGCCATTTCACTTCTCGCCTGCTCGTCTATGGTTGCATAAACATCTCCGGGTAAACTCTGATACGTGTACACAGTGCAGTACATATTAAGCGATAGCATGTTAAAGAAGGAATGTTTGTTGGGCTGCAGCTTCTCATCTGCAATCTGATTCACATCCAACTCCTTCACTGAGGACTGGTGTTTTACGTGCGTGCCTACATACATTAGTGAGTGTGTACTTTTGTGAATGAATGCATTCATGTGTAAGTGTGTGTTTAAAGATGAATTTGATTGAATAATTTCCCTTCCGGAATCACTTTGAATGCACGCCCATATTCAGTCCAAAGTGATTCTGTGGGACCCTAAGTGCAGCCTGGCCAGTGTCATCTTGACAAGCTTTGCTTACGTATTTACACAAACCCTTCTCTTTTTAAAGTGAGCTAAGGGGATGTAGAGGTGGAAAAATAGGAGAAAAGTGGCTCTCTGTACAGCACAAATACACATTTTTAATTAATGTTTCAATAAACATTTTTGGTCTCAATAGTTTATTAAGGTATTTTTTTCAAAACTCTATGGATGTACATTTATTTGCAAATCATCTTTTTATATTATATTTAAGGCTCAGAGTTCTGTCTGCTTCTCGATTGGCCAGAAGTTATTAGTCAGCATTTCCAATATGGCAACTGCCATAGTTAATTTATAACGCTTCTTCACAAACCAATGCAATGGGTGACATCACAGATACCATGACCATGTTTTATACATTCTATGGGGAAAAGATGAAATTTGATATACATACTCTCTTATCTGAGATCTATGATGGCCTATCAGAATATCAATAGGTAAAGGATTAGTGAAGAGGTGGCCCTTTACAACTTAATTGAAGTAAAAACAGTGATAAACGTAAGTAAACACAATGTTCCTAGCAGGTCAAAAGAGATCCAGCTTCTTAACAATGAAAAATCTGACTTTAGGCTCAGCGTACCTTATATACCTATTAAACTTGCTTTGCAGTTCACCCCTCAGGTGTAAGCTTGTCTGTACACTTTAAGACTTACTTCCCTCCCTTATTCTTTTCTTGTACTTGTCATTTACTGCTGATGATACAACAAGGAATGCGAAGAGATCAGACATCAAAAGTAGGCTGTAATAAAACACTGAGTACATAAATGCTCTGAGGGCAAATAGTGTCTGAAGATGAATAGGTAAAACATTCAGGAGGCGTGAGATCAAGCTGGAGTCAGCTATCGCCTTATTCTGAAACATGGTGGAGTCATTCTTGCCTTGATCTTCAAATCCATACGTCATGTTTATCTTGACTTTTCTACTCATCCCAATGCCACATACATTAATAGCCAATAAAATGTCCGTCTTTTGCCGGCTATCTGCTCACACATGTGGTGATGTTTCATTGTAATGAACAGAAAGAATCTCTGTGTTGTTGTCTCCCACATGTTATAAGATTGAGAAATGTAATCCCTGAATAAAGCAGACAAATAATTATCTTGAGTTGTGATTAATTATAGGGATGAGCCTAAGTTTTGGCCGCAGTTCAGATTATGAGCAAAGTGCATAAAGATGAATTTTGTTGTTGTAGCTGGACACAATGTGTTGGGTGTTCATCAAGTTATGATTTATGACGGGTCATGGTCTGCATATTCAGGACATTTTGTAGGTGTTGGTGACTAGGAGACACATTGCGAAACTGCAGATAATTCCTCCGTGGGATTTTACAGCATAGGAAAATGGTTTTCAGTTTTGGGCAAGCCCCATTTCATTTTCAATTACACTATTCCCACTAATCTGTTTAGACACATGAGCCAAGTTCTTCATGAGACCCCTGGGTTAGAAGTTTTTTTTCGCCAGTAGAAAAAGAGCAGGATCATCTGAACAGTGAAAATACAGAACACTGTGTCGTTAAGTCTCAGGACTGAGGCAATAGTCCATGTAGGCAGAAATTCTGCTGCTGTGAAGTGTGAGGGGCCAACAGCCTTGATGAGCAGGAATAATGGAATAATTGCGTTTTGGCTATGAGTGCCGATCATAACTGCGGTAAAGCTGGAATGTCGGAAAGTTTAAAAAAATGGTGTTGAAAGCACCATTGGGACTAAAAAAAATTCAAAATAATTTATCAATTCATGTGAAGAAAAAGGTCATGGGAACATTGATACATTAATGTGTCTTTAGCTTCTTACTGTCTGACTTAAAAAAAAAAAAAAAAGAAAAAAACATCTGGTTCCGCTAAAGACAAAAAATTGAAGCAATAAATTAGCAGTAGAAAAAGCCCAAACCTTATTTTCATACTTGCCAGCAAAGTAACTTTTAATTCAAAGTAAAGCAGAACTTTAAAGCATTTTAAACATTTTAGATAAGATTGAAGATAAGCTATCACCTGGAGCTATGGTTTGTCTGAAACCAAAGGCTTTAGTTCATTCATATTTATACATGAGCATAGAACTGTGCATCCTATTTGTAATGTACAGAAATATTATTTTGTGCAGTAGCCCAGCTACTAACTATGTTAATGTAGTTATTACAATAACAGTTGAAGATGTTTAGACTTTTATCATTAACTACCAAAATGATCAGTCAATCATCATTCTTCATTGTTACTGCTTATACAACACATACCCTTTACCATTATTACCAACATTGTATCTATACAGTAAATGTGTTACATTAGTTGTTTTGCTGCTGCTGCTGCTGCTCTGTTGGGCTGGTCAACATCTGGTTCAGTTCCTGTTTCTGCCTGTTAAAACAGTTTTTGCCACTGTTGCTTTGCTAAATGAACATTTTTGGTCCCTGTACAGTAAATAAAATAATGTGTACAGTCTAGACCTGCTCTTTTTGTTTTAAGATAACACTTGTTATGATTGGTGCGTTATAAATAAAGATGAATTGATTGATTGATTAAATGTTTGATACTTTATGTGCAATTACCTTACTTAAAACCCTTTTTCTTTCTTTTTTTTACAATTTTAATACCGTGCCTTAACATTTTCTTTCCTCTAATGTATTTATTTATTTTATTTAAGCAATCCCACTTTGGTTGATATGTCACTCATCATCTCATTATAAAACATTAAGGCAGACAAATCAAAGTTATGCTCAGATTATTAAATGTGTATCCAAAACTCTGGAAAACAAGTTATTGTTTAAACTTCAGATTGGATCAAACCTTCCTTTATGCAGTCCTATATTTTCCTCACTCACTCTTCCCCCGTACTCCTAAGTGCTCCTACTTACCAAAGTCACTGGCACAGTAGTGCTCCATGATGTTGTCTGCTTTCAACTCGTTGTCACAGGGAGGGCACACCTTTGACACTGAGGGGACAGAAAGATAATACATCATTAGCATCTACACCAGATCCATTTTTTATATATATATAATGGCTGAGTTGGGGTAAATGTTGGTGAGGTGCAAACAGAAGCCACTCAGTATGAAATCGTTAAGCCATGGACACTTTTGAACCACTTATTCTCGCCCCCCTCTTCGTGTCAGAGGCTATTTGCTGTGGAGCGAATATGCAGTCCAGCAGGCTGACTGATGTTTGCCCTGCAATTAAACCGTACAAAATGTTTTTATTCTGGGCCTTGTATATTTTGGTGGTGCAGGCGTGGTCATGGCTGTGCAGAAAGGTAAATGCTGTTGCAGGAACAGCTGAACATGGTGAAAAGTGATTCTGTAGACAGCCACAGCTAGCAGCACTTAGGCCACACAGCAACCACACATTGTGAAACAGCCAGAGAAAACCAAAGAAACAAGTAAAGTTTATTTTTAACTCCAAATTTATGGTCATGTCTGCTTCACTCCAAAAGCATGTTTAACCTCACTTACTGTGATTTTGGTCTGTGTTTATATTGTGCACCCACACAATAGAGATACACAATGTGACAGAGGATGATTTTCTTTCCCTATTTGAAACATTTTGCTTGTTTATAAAATGAAACACTCACATTTACAGTATAGACCATGGACTGTATAAAACTATAGTCAGCAAAAAAGCTATCAGAGTAAAGCCAACATATTTAGAGCCCCTACTGCTGACCTGCTAGCTCATAACCTCTACCTCCTCCATGTTAACAGTTGGGACATGGGTCAAAAGAAAAATGCATTTTCTCAAACCCGATTTCAGGTATCATAGTTAGTTTTTATGATGATGATTTATATCAAGTTTTTGTTTTTTTGCCAAAAGATTAGTTTTAATAAACTATTTGATAGCTGACAAAGGTGACTGGAGAGTTCTCTAAGGGTTTATCAGAGTAGAGGAGGAACTACGAGAGGACATTTTATGAAGACTTACACAAGAGTTGTTTAACTACAGTATACATAACCATGAGTATCTTCTTCAAACTGACATGAGAATCTGTACAGCTCATACTGACCTGAGGGATCTTTGCCATTATATCTGTAAATTAATATTTTGACAAGCAGAATGGGCAGCACATGGCTCCAAATGACACAACCAGCCTTTATCAGTGCCTGTCACAATGATATTATTACCAAATTTTCCCCTGGGGATACATAAATGATTACTGATTCTCGTTCTGTAATAAAGCTTCATTTTTGGACACTGGAAGGAGATAGAGATGATTCATTGATAATATGTTGTCATTGGTACATACCTGCCAAAATATGCTTGTAAATGTGAAAAATTATTATCCATTGACCATCTTCCTTCTCAGTTTTATTTTTGTCTAGGCCTGTAAATCCCTTATTCTGCTCCTTGTCAGACACACAAACACACACTACCTTGCAATTTTCTCCAAAGGCTCTTCAATATAAAACTTTATTATGAAAATTACGACATAAACTCCATGTAATCCTAGAGGGGCGGGTTGTAGCTGCACACATCTCATATCAATCCACTCATCTGCAAAACAGAGCCCTGGGCCAATCCAGACAACAAGGAATAATATTAGAAGGAGTCAGAGAGAGGGGAAGGATGTGGTTTCTAAATTGTCCCAACATCCCATGTATACAGTCAACCTACAGGGCGGAGAAATATCATGAGCAAAGATATGCCTGAGTGAGCAGCCTTTTTCAGGGGGACTGTTTATAGTGAAGCTAAATTTTCTGTCATTCAATTACTGCGAGACTCAAACTATGTTCGGATAACTCCCACAAAAGCTCTTTTCAGATGATTGTCACACTTAACAAGCTCACACTTGTACACTCAAAACTTTGATACTTTTCCATAACGTGTTTTATAAAGATACAATCTCTTTTTCTCTAATGTTCGACATATCTGAAAAGTACAAATGTTTTTTAAACCAAAGCTGCCACGAGCAAAAGAGGGAGTGCAGCAGTGGTCAATTCAAATTCACAGGTTGGTTCAACTGAATTATGAGTGATAACACTGTGTCTATATTGTCAATGTATTTGTGCAATTTACACATTCCATTGCCTAGGACTTCTTTAATTGTTGCTGTGGCATCAGAACATGAATTGATATCGTTTGATTTTTACTACATTTGTTAAAATTCTGGTATCAAGACATACTTAGTACACACACACACACACACTGCACTGCACACAAAGGATTATCCCAGCACAATCCAGCCCAGGCCCCTGGGTTAAGAGTCAGAGCTCAAAGGTTATCACCTCTACCCAAACCTCAGCGTCTGGGCAGATAATGACAAGGGTCAAAGTTTAGCATGCTTCGCTGCTTGGGTCGTGGGGAGGTGAACCCCCGAACCGCCACCGAGTGTATAAATGTGTGTGTACGTGTGTGTGTGTGTGTGTGTCAGAGAGAGTTGAACCATGTTCTTGAAGAGTAGCTGCCAGTTTTTCTTCCTTCCCATGCTTTCCATAGCGGGACCTGCGAGGCCTACAGGGTCAAGCCTCTAATTGTCTGGTGCTGACATGTAGACTGGCATGGAAACATACAAGCACACATCTCACACACATCTCACACACACACACACACACACACTGATCAAGATCAACGCCAAAATCTGTGTTTGTCTGTTTTGAATGATTCCCTTGAAGCTGTGTTGCATTTGATTCAGACTCCACCGCAATTCATTCTGGTTTCACAGGGGTGGTATGTTGGCAGGATTCCCAGTTGTGTGGATGCCGGCGCATGTGTCAGGAGAAACTGGCCCCCTCCATGAGACTTTGCTGAGCTCGAAGTGAAAAAACAACCATTTGGATGCCACTAAGAAATCAATTAAGCAATGACTGGCTGCCCCTATCAAGGTCTGGTCTCTGTTGGAGGTTCACAGTCATGCGTGATGGAAATCAGTCCTGCATGGCTAATGTGTTTTTTTTTCTTTTAAACATTTATCCCCAGCAATATTTTGACATGAGCTCATTCATGTATTTTGAGCTCATTCGTGTATATTGCCTTCATATCAAAGCAGGTTCTACCATTCAGTGCGATAAAACTGTGAGCACAGCGTTCTTGCTTTGGTTGACTTTGGACTTGGACCACTTCTCTTGTGCTGCTTTTCATCATTTGCATTCTGGGTTACACTTAACTTTGGCTTTATTACAGAAACTTTAACGCTCCAATCATGGTGATAAATGTTGAAGTATTGTCTCCCAGAGCTGTTGGTGGGGAGGAAGAGGTCAAGAGTCTATGATTAAGTATAAGGAGAGGAGGATGGGAGCAGGGTGAACAGGGAGGTGGTCTGTTGTAAAAACCCGTCTGTTAATCTTCAAATGGTGAACCAGAGTGGAAACGACATGCGGCAGGAGTCCAGTAATTTAACCACACAACTTGACTTAGTCATAGCTCTGAAGTTAATACACTTTCTCCTTCTACTCCCTCAATGTCATTTTCTTCTTTCTTTCAAATAACCAGGTTGAAAAGAAGATAGAGACATGATTAAACAACATCCAACCTTAACAAAATCTCCTAGGTACTAAAGACACTTTTAAAAGTCTATTGATTGAGACTTTTCATGTTATTGGTTAAAGTTCTAGTTTTTCAAGTTTCAAGTAACTATATAGTTTTAGTAAAGAGAAGCACTATAAGGAAGCAAGTTTGAGCGCCAAAATAAAGGTTTTCCTCTAAAACATGTCTGCTCTGACATCTGAATACATGACAACAAAATGAAGATATTTTCATTTTGTGGTGACTAGATGGTGCAATAGGAAATTGCTTTGTGCAGTTTCTATAATTATGTTGACGCCCTGATTATAATTGATTCCTTGAAGACTTCATTAGTCATTAGATGACACTCAGAAATCCTTTTCCGACCACACACTGTTGAAAATATTCAAATGACATTACTTGTTTGCAATATTTCCCAATTTCTCACTTCCAGAAAGTGCAAAGCGACAAACTTCTGTTCCTAACCGTTTTCTTTCTCATTCACACATATTCACACAGAAGACAACTCAATTCATCCAATCTGTCATTTGACCCCCTGAAGTGTCTTGTATCTTGTCCCTTGCTGCCCGACCGTCACACTGACTTTGTTTTATGTTAGGAACGTTCCATTTAAACTATGCATGGGTCACTATCTCACACCTCATTTGGGCCCTGTAAGTTACGAGCAGGGCAACACTTATGACATAAAATGGTACTGTGCCGGAGATGAAATGCAGCGTGTGATTTATGTCCGAGGTCCTAACATCTGTTTTAATGCGGCATGCAGACGGACAGAGGAGGACTTAAATACAACCCACAGGCAGCCTTCGGGGCCCCGAAAACACGGCCCTCCTCGCATCTGTAGGAATCTTATACAGCAGAGAAAATACATCCTCAAAAGGCAGAGGCAGTCTTCCATGCACAAAGCGTTGGATCACATTTTCCCTTTCATATAGCAGCCAGGGCCACATGAGTAGCACCCATTGTGCTGCTGGGGACCCGACAGTGCGGCCTGTCTCTTATAGCATGGTTGTAACTTACACTAAGACAGACAATATCTTTCACACTACGCAATTTTACCACTTTCACTAGACAACGTGCACATTGTGTTGAAGATTCAATGAAACATGCAATTTGCTTAGGAAGTTTACCCCATGCACCTTAAAAGAAAGGGCATCATCTTGGCTATGCTTTCATACCCGAAATGATGAGCTGATGCTGATAGCGGCTGAAGGCAGCATGATTAAATCCTTAAGTTAGCATTAACTTTGCTCTAACAGACAGACTTGGCTCAGCTGGCTTTTTTCACTCCCTGGATGCTTCTGCCCTCTTTTGTCAGCACTCTGCTGGTCTCCCCTGCCACAATATCTACCTCATCATCACAACCCATACACACACATACACGCAAAAATGTCACCACAAGTACGCACACGTGTCAAAAATCAGTCCCACACTCACAAAACCAGAGCTCAGCCGGTTGGGATGTTCCTCTCTTTGACACAGACAGAAAGTTGGAAAGTGAACCTAAATTCTGTACTGCTAGTTTCCACAGGATCCCTCCAACCGTGGTATATCATGTAATCACAGAACAGCTCAGATAGCATCGGGGCCTCCAAGACAGGGAGGTAGGACGGCACTTAATTCCTGCACTTGATCCAATTCCCAAAGATTCACCTGGATTACCACCAGAGTCCTCATTTGATCCTGGGTGACGAGAATAATCCATGTCCTTTGACAAAAAGGGTTCCCAGGAAACTTTCTCTAATAGATTTAATCTGAGATTTCTTTTTGTTATTGCTGGCTTTGTTTTTGTATGTGTGCATGTGTGTTTGTGTGTGCGCGTTTGTTTTAGAGCCAAAAGCTTGTCCTCAGAATGGCCTTGTCGGCACATCTGAGAATCTCTGGTTCTTAACAAAATGTCAGCGACTGAGCCTCCGGGCTACAAGTGATACGGGTTCACTCTCGGTTTCAAAAACACACATTTACACCCTTTCACACAAGCACACATTTAAATGTAATCATTTAAGCTCAACCAATCAGCCATGTTTTATTCATTTCTTCAAAATTCCATGCAACATGTTTGTTTCTTTTTTTTCTCCCGGCACAACATTTCTCAATAACAGATATCCCTCAACTTATTATCCCTGATCCGCTATCTCACCACTATCTGTAATCTAACTGCCTCTGATCATGATTTGATTAGATAGCGTCAACAAGCAGTCTCCTGTTTGGAGGAGGTGACATATTAGGTCTGAGCTGCCTCCCTCTCAAGGAGCGTGTACCAGAATGAGTTATGTTCCTGCAAAGCCAAAATGTCACATAGCTGACACCAGTCCTACAAAAACAGCCACCATTTTTCTTCTAATGGATTAAGACAGCTCTGCATCCTTGAACTATTTGTTCTTACTTTCCTGGAGAGAAAGTTCAGTAGCTATCAGATCACGGTGAACATTATTGATAAAAAGCAAAGTTATGTCACACAGCTGGTTTTAACTCACAGGAAAAAAAAAGATGTTGGCTGCCATTTTAGTAATAAAAAAAACAATATTAACTATCAAGAAGGAAACAAATTCCCTTTATACTTAAAAAAAAAAAAAAAAAAGCATTAAAGAAGCAATAAAAACGTTTTTAATTTGAAATGATACCGAAAAATTACGCAAAGTTCTTTTTTTTTTTTTTTTTTAAAGTTAAGATAAAAAGAGTCTTACTCAACAAAATCTGACTTTTATAGGAGAACAGATGATCCACTGAAAAAAGGGGGCTGAAATCTAAGAGTTTTGGATTGGAAAAAAATGTTTTCCATTTAAGAACTTTTCAATCTTTATTAGATAAGAAATGGCTATAAACTGTAAAAGGCAAGAAGTGGAATAAAGAGAATAATAAAGCATTTTCTTGCAGTCCTTATTGAAAGCAGAGCCTGTAAGAAGCAGCTTTTTTTCCCCCCTTTTCTCTGCACTGTCTGTCTCTCTTCACTCCCCAGCCTCCCTCTTCTCTCCTCTCCTTTCACTCCTCTCCATTCGGGACAATCACACTTTAGCCATTCCCATTCTCCCTCTGCCTCTCTTGTCCTGTCATGTCCACTAATTAGCAGGAGCTCAGTAATTGGCCTTCTTGCTAATTGGCCGGCTGGCTGCCAGACCCAACAAAGGCCGAGCAGGCTGGGACACAGTGGGGACTGTCCCCCCCTTCAGTGTCTAAAGACCCTCATCGACTCTCTCTCTCCCCCTCTCTGAGCTGACTGCTTTTGTGAATAGGCTGCTTAAGTTCTCGCTGTGAATTCACACACATGCACGCACACACTTATTTCTTTCTATTTAGTTCCCACTCTTTCTCTCGAACTCACTCCATCTGTCTGTCGTCTTGCTCGCTGCCTGAGAGAAATTAAATCACATTTTCCATTTTTGTCAATTAAATCCTTACTAAAAACCCTGATGTTTCCCTTCATATTTAATCCGTCTTGGTTTTCTTTTGGTCCATTTAAAGACACTCTGCAGGCCAGCTTGCATGCATGACAGCTCCAAATGAGACATTCTCCATCCACTCACTTGTTGGATTGATTGATTAGCTGTTGATTGATGTCTGCTGATAAAGGTGTGTGTGTTTGCATGTGAGTGTGTTTCACCTTTCCACTTCTGATGTGTTTAACATTACAGGCCATTCATCTTAACTCAGGGAGCGATCTGACTGCCGGAGTCTCTCAGTCTCCTGTCTGTCTGTCTCTCTTGGCCTGTCTCTGTGGCACCCTGAGGGGGGAGAGATGGCAGGGGAGCCGTCCTGAACCGTCCTATCACTCAGGAACTTTCGCCTGTAGCCTCTTCCTGCTCACGTCTACCTAACTAAACTTCTCTGGATAGTCTCTCATTTACAGCTCTGTCTGTCATCATTTTAGTTTAGGGAAACCATAAGAGCCTCAAAGCCATTTTCAAGTTCCTTAAGTATCTGACTTTACAGGCGCTTAGGCACTCGACTGTCTTCAGTAATGTTTTGAAGCAAGATGGTTCAAGCCATTAACTCAAACTACTCTATGTTCGCATCTCTTTTCATTGTAGGCAGCTTTATTTTATTTCAATAGTAGAAGAAGTATACAACACTACATTTTTTCAATTACAAATATTTTATTTTTCAACCCATGTATCTTTTTAAATTGTAACGATTGTTTAAAATCTAATTAACAAACATGTGTGTACCATGTTTTGGACAGAATATTAATAACTAATACAGCAGTATGACTCTGTGTTGGAAAGATTTGCAGTCTTTTAAATAAATTAAGAGTTTAAATTGTTGAATCTTTTTATTCATGAATGAAAATTTGATCCATTTTGAGAGGACACAGAAACAAGGGTTTTTGCGTTCAGACTTTTGTCCAATTCCATTATGGACTTTTTCATTCTAAGTGTGCTCTGCAATATTTACTGCGTTAATGCTTGTGTGTTAGAATGGTTTCATGTGCACACCTACCTGGTGGCGGGGTTGCTTGGTTCCCAGTGAACTGCATGGGGATGCAGAGGTCGTTATCAATGGGAAACTTATCACAGGTCAGCATCTCCGGCCAGGGGAAGCCGTAGGTCTCCATGACCGGAGCACAGCTGTCCCTCACAGCCTCACATAGCGAGCGGCATGGGTAGATCGGCCTGTCCAGACACACAGGTGCAAACAGGGAGCACAGGAAAACCTGGGTGTCAGCATGGCAGCGTTTGGCCAGGAGGGGCACCCAGCTGCCTGCCTGCTGCTTGACTTCTGGCATGGTCTCGTGGTCCAGCAGGTTTGGAAGCCTCATCTTCTTGTAGCCAACGTTGTGGCACAGGCGCAGGTCAGCTGGTATGTCCACACACTGCGGCTGCTTGGTGTAGAAGCGGCCATTGTGGAAGTTGTCCGACTGCCAGCTGTAGTAGTCGTACTCATCTGCGGCCGAGACTGTGAGGGGGAGGAGGAGGAGGGAGAAAAGCGACAGGCCCAGTGCCAGGCTGAAGGAGCCCTGGGTTAATGCCCACCTGGGGCTCTTTTGTCCATGTGCCATGCCTCTCTGAGCTCCTACCAACAGTTCAAGAAGGTTGTATCCAAAGTCTCCAAAGTGACTCAGTGAGGACAATGTGCAGCGAGAAGAGTGGAACAAGTGGTGAAGGCAAACAAGCTGTAATCCTTTTTTTTGTCCTGAGTACAGATGCAGAGGATTGAAAACAAAAGTGTTTAATTCCCTTCTTCTCTGGAAAGTCGGCCCTCTTAGCCTCCCTGAAACACCTCCCTGTGTGTGTGTGTGTATGTGTGCCTCAGGTAGTGCAGAGGGGAAGAAGCATGGACACACAAGTAGGACTGCTTATAGTCTAACTTTCCCTGTTCACAGTTTCTCGCTGTCCTTCCCTCTCCCTCTCTCAGACCTGTCTCCAGCCCTCTCTGCTCTCTGTCTATCAGTCTGTAGCTGTAATGAGGACTACCTTAGGCTTTAAGAGGCAGTGGTTGCTGCTCTGTGCAGCTGCCTGCCCCCCTAGCAGGCTCCCAGACCACTCACCTTCCTACTGGCCTCCCCTGTACTCACTCACAACAGTGTCAGCCTATCAAAGCCCCGGGGGAGGCTCCCAGTGGCCTCCAGGACACTCCTCCTACCCCTTATCCTCCAAGAAACCCCTCCTCCAAAACAAGTTACCAAGAGAGAGAGAGAACAAACTTTGGCAAGTTTCTCAAGCTCCATATTTATGTTCATCTCTCAAATATGCACTCAATTATTTGGTTGGAAACACACCCACAAACACAAAGACATTTTTCTTAGTCATGCTGTTTTTTTGTAATTCATGTATAAACTTTCTACCCCTCTAACATTTCCTCATCAGGGGCTCAACAAGCTCCCTGCACATCTCTCTACAGATAACAAATTATGTCTGCTTCTCATTTTGGCCTGCTCACTTCTGCAAATCAAAATATTTCTGGCATAACAATTCTTCAGATGACATCAACAGTGATAAAACAGGCTCAAACTCTCTTTTGCATTAAAATAAAAAATCTAGGCAGGCTATTTGTAAAAGCAATAAAACAAAGTATTTCTGAGCTATATGGCATGATCGTTTGGGAGATGGGCTTTATTTTGTGTTCGATTAGTGTACAAATCCCAACTCTGTTTCAAATTAGTACATTTTTGATTAAAGTCCTTTTCACACATGTACTGCACTCCTGAAAATGTCCTTACATTGTCAGGGTGGGTTGCATTTGTGAATCTAAATAGTTAAATCCATAGACCCAGAGTTTATGCCTAGCTTTACCCTAGTTGTCCACTCGTAAAAAGTCTACTTAAGATCAGGAACGAGCTTATTTGTAAATGCTGCAGGTAATAATCAAATTTTATTTTACTTTTTTACTTTTTTTTTTCTAAAATGTTGCCTTTATTTGAGAGATAGGACAGTGGATAGAGTCAGAAAGCAGGGGGAAAGAGATTGGAGAATGACGTGCAGGAAAGGAACCAAAGGCCAGATTTGAACCCTGGCCGCCTGCTTGGAGGACCACAGCCCCGGTACATGGGGCATGCGCACTAACCAGTAGGCTACCTGCACCCCTACTACTTTATACTCTTTACTACTTTCATGGGTGGCCAGGATTCTGTTAATCTTGTGTTTGTATTTCAGAACCATTCTAACACATGTTGTGCTTATATTACCCAGAAATGATCATCATTAGGAAGACTCCTCCCCCTCCTCCCCTTGAACACTCTACCCAGTCCCCCTTTCCTAAACCAAACAGAGAACTTTGAATTGTGAGAGGATGCCTGACACTCCTCCTGTAAGAGATGTAGGAAAGGCAATTTAGGAAAATATCAGAAGCTAAATGTCTTTCTTGTTTGAAAGGGACTTCAGAGAGGCGAGTAGTTTATAGTTAGAAAATGTCCTCCTTTTGTTATAGTTACACTTCTTATAGCCATGTGGTTTGCTATGGTTTTGTAACTCTTATGTATGCATGTTCTGTTGTTGCTCTGTAAAACATGGTCATAATCTGAAGTCACATATGTGAAACACTTTCACAAGTGCAAGAAATTAGCAGGTAAAGTAGTGAGAGGAGAGACTGTGCAAGAGGTTTCCGAGTGTTTCTTGTGCAGCTACAGGTGGCTAGGTGGTTTACTCACACCATGGGAGTTATGCTAATGTGTGTGTTGGTTGTGAATAGAAGCCCACTGCGTCTCTGTCTCTTTCTATCAGTGCCACTGACACACTGAGGGCCTTCGCCTTGGCTGCAAATTCACAATGTATTGCATTTCAAACAGGATGTGGGATTGGTGGCACATGTGAAGGGTTTTCTTTAATCTTACGTTTGATCTACGGCCTTGCAGTGATGCTTTTCTGCATGTGAATGGCCTGTAAATGCAGATTCAAACAAGGGGTTTGTTAGCCGGTGTGAGCTGAGTTTTTATTGTAATAGAGCAATAATGAAAGGAAAAGCTGGATGCGGGGCCCATGTCGTTTTTGGATCATTGTCATTAACTGTATGTGGCAGTGCAAACAATGAGTCTAGAAAAAAGCATGTGTGTGTGTGTTTTGTGAACAGTTGGTGGTGTACTTGGATGGGAATCTTGAACACTGTTGTTCTTTGCCTGTAGCGTGGAAGATAAAATTCCAGAAACAGCAGTGAGTCCATAAAGTTTAATTCAATAAGATGAAATCACACAGATAAAAAATGCGCTTCAATATCAGACAACCAGGCACATCCATAAAACCCTTCAGTCAACTCTATCCAAGCACCCGTATAGTTTTATGATACATTCCTTTAATTCCAAAGCCAAAGGATTGCGAATACGATTGCTGCACCGCCTAATCATTTTTTAACTTCAGGATGAAGCTGACTATGTTTGGACCTTATCTTCCTGTGCTACAGTTTAAATCCCTGTTGACTTATTGGTGTGTGCAGACACTGCAAAGAGGTTTTTCTGGGAATAAAAATGCTGCCAAACTCAATCTCCTCTTGGAGCAGTTTTCATTACCTGCAACGTGGGAAGAAAGGACGGCGTTGAGCTGTAATCAACCCTAAAATGTCGTCAGTATTACAAAAAGTAATTTCTGTTGCTATAAAGTGATGATTTGGTGAAATACGTTTGGCCATAGCTTTGGATCGTATTTCCTCACTTCTTCTCTTCCATCACTCTGCTCCTGGTCTTTTCGCCAGAGGGTTTTGTTATTCGCAACTCTGCTAACCTTTGCACCAACGCTAATCAATACAACTCACAGCTAATAATCTGTGAACCTTACTCCGTCTGGAAGGGATGGTGGGACAGTCTCGTGCACACCTCACTATCTGGTATCTTGTACACACGTTGGAGCAATGACCTATTTTAAGACTGCTAGCGTTTCCTCTCGCTACAGGCACAGTGCACTGCCTTCAAGTCACTAACAAAAGTGTCTTTCATGGTAATCAATCAACAATGGTTGTCTCCTCTTGTTCTCTTTCCCCTAACTGGCCCCTGTGGCCACAGGCCAATCAATTCCACTCTCTAGTTTCCAGCTTTCTCATTGGCTAAGAGATACAAGATTAGCCTGTATTGTTGGGCCTAAAGGTTTAGCATGGTCTGAAAAGAGTGTCTCAGCAATTGTATGAGTGAGTGAGTGTGTGTGTGTGTGTGTGTGTGTGTGTGTGTGTGTGTGTGTGTGTGTGTGTGTGTGTGTGTCTTAAACGGAAAGGCTTGTGTGTAAGGTGGCCAGCAGCCCAGATATGCAGCCCAAGCGGAGTTTGAAATCCAAACCACACAAGAAGATGGAGTGTGAAAGACAACAGACACAGAAGTATGTTGTATGTCTTTTCTGTGACTGAACACAAGAAACAGAAAGCATGGAAAAATATCTTCTCTGAACCTTGCTAGCATATAACCTACTGTGTAGTCTCAGCAGCTCAGTGATACTTCAATTCTAATCAGGGGAAAGAGTAAGGAGGTCTAACAGCATAATGAAGTTCTAGAGATACAGTAGTGCAGCTTCTTGTCAAAGAAATCTCTTCTATAAAAATACATTTTTGCATTACAATACACCTAAAGAAGACACACAAATGCAAAGCTCTGTGACTACAATGTACAGCAATGTAGAGGAGAAAGCTGAAAAGACCCCCACCACCACCACACACACACACACACACACACACACACACACACACACACACACACACACACACACACACACACACACACACACACACACACACACACACACACACACACACACACACACACACACACACCTCCCAGCTTGCAAGGCAGCAACAATAGGGATTAGTTTGCTTAACTGTCAAAATGTGTGAAACACACAGACCAGTGTCTCTCACTAATAATTGTATTTTCTCTCTTTTTCCTTCTCACTTTCTAACACACACACACACACACACACACACACACACTTCTACACACTGACCATGACTCTAACTGCAAACTGTGACTGGGAAATAACTGCTGAAGAAATGAAGGAAATAATTGCACAAGAGGAATTGTCAGACCATATGTAAGAGCAATTGTTTTATAATAAGTAAAGTTCGTTTAGTAATTAATTGTAATTTTTTCCCTCTCTTCTCAGTTTATGTTTGACATCATGTCAGATTAAAACAGGGTGGGGTAACTTCCACAACTGGTACACTTTCTTTGTAAGTAATAATATTTTTATGAAAAATTATTTGGATCCCTCAAATATAACATTCCAAAGATGCAAAAGCAAAAATCACTCCCCGTCAAAGCACTTCATAAATTCTTCTAGTTTTCCAAATGAGCCATATAATCTGAAAGTCTGCCTCCTTATCCTGCTGGTTTGCAAACAATGTTTGCAGGGTCAGCCAGTCCACACACCACAATGGATAAAGATCCATAATCCTGCTCATGCAGACACACAAACAAACAAAATAAACCTGTGGCAGAGAGCTTTAGTTCTCAGAGAATGTCGCAGACCTGCACAAAACCTGGCAGCCTGAGTGACACCGGGAAATATCCGGCTTACACGGTGTGACTGCTTTCTGCCCGAGTCCAGCCGGCTCACTGAGCCACAGGTCAGGAATGACTCCGTCAAGGGCGACTATTGCACATAGTTGCTGAAATGTGATGAAATTATGTTGGAAGACTTTAGCACCACACAGTCACATAGTGCTTGACTCGTAGATGCCCATCACTCTGGACAGCTGTGAAGAGATACTGACAGGGGTTTGCTCTTTCCTGTCTTTGGCGTTCATGTGCACAATTTTTGTCACCTCGAGTAATTCTTCCTTTTTTTATTTCTGTTTCACCTCCAATCTTGCTTCTTCTCCTGTTGTTCTTCTAGCATCGAATGCTTGAGACGTGTGGGTTAATACATGGGGTCAGAATCAAACAATGTGACAACCTCTCCTCCCTCTGCCACACACGCTCAGCCACAGACACACACATACACCTCTCCCCTCACTGTCAACCCTTACAACCAGCTTCAGCGCCTCCTAACAGATTCTTTGTAAAAGCGCTTTGACCAGATCACCGTCAT